GAGAGAGAGAATTTAGAGTCAGAACGACCAGTTAAAAGGGATCATTAGTATCATTAATTTAAGGAAATGTATGGGGTGAACTGAGGCAATGGTAATGGGGATGGAGCAGACATTCAAAAAATATTTGTGATAAAAAGTAAAAGAACTCGTTGACTGAAAGATTTGGAAAATTAGAGTCTATTAAAACCATGATTTGAAGAAAGGATTTTGATTATTCTTATTTTTTTAATGACAGAGGTGTGCATGTTTATATGCTAAGGGAAATGTTGGATGAATGAACATATATGAAGGATAAATTTTATATAGAAGCAAAGTAATACATTCACAGTGAGTAAGCATCTTAATATAGGTGATGTAGTATATTTATTAAATACACAAAACAATAGCAAAGAACAAATTCATTCAGACAGAAAATATTTACTAAGTCCCATTATGTTCAGGGCATTATCCTAAATGCTAGGGGGAATAAATTTAAAAACATATCATATACCACATGTTGATTGGTGTTATGAAGAAAAAGCAGGATAAAGCTGGAGAGTTATGGGGATGGTGTTTTAGAAAGGACAGTTATAGAAGTACTCCGAAGTGACATTGAGCAGTAGAGTAGGTGGATGGTAGAGGTCATTAATTGCCCTGGAGAAGACTAAGTGAGGATCGGGTCGATTAGGGTCAAATCAAGAATTCAGTTTTGAATAGGTTAAGATTGAAATACCTATTAGATGTCTAAGTAGAACAGGCAGGTGCATATATATGCATTGATTTCAAGAAAGAGTTTGTGATTGGAGATAAAATTTGAGAGTCTTCAACATACAGATGGGATTTAAAGCACTTGAACTGGATGGGATATGGAAATATCCCATACAGAATGTTGGAGGAGATAGAGATTGAGGACTGAACCCTGAAGTTACAAGTTTTAGAGATTGAGAAGATGGGGAATAATACAGCAAAGGACACTGAGAAGAAATGGCCAATGATGTAATAGGAAAATGAACAAGAAAGAAGGAGTCATGAACTGCATCAATAGATACTGTGAAAGAGGGGGCGGGGTAGAATTGCAAAACAAAGGCTTTGAGTAAGCAAAAAGGGATGAGATCCAATACTCAAAAAAGTTGGCCTTAATTAAGAACACTGTCAGTTCAGCCAAACATCCACTACTTTCAAAGCTTTTACTTTTACAGGATCATATTCATAAAGTTCACTTTCTCCCTGGGATTTCAAGCAGAGTAGGTAGGAGGGTACAATTAGTGATCTTTGTTTGCAATACAGTGCCAGTCTCTGTGGTCTGCTGGAAGCCAGATAGTGAAACTAGTGGAGGACATAGTTCATTGTTTTCCTAGAGCACAACACAACAGCCCTAGGTGT